GTGCTAGAGCCCTGGCACAGAAAGGGGTATTCTAAGGACAGACAATTGCGCCCCTCCCTGCGGCACTGAGACTGTTCAAACAAAGCCCTTAAAACAATGCACCCTAAAGAATTAAGATGTTCCAGGAAATCTCATGCTTGGGGAGAGGAAAACCCTAGCATAGCCAGAGGAACCTGTCAAGCAAGAGGCTGCACAGGTAGATGAACACATTCTGCTTCTTGGCTTTTGTTTAGTCTTTTGTACAAAGCTGTCATTGCTATAAAAGAACTGAGAGAAACTAAATATATTTTCCCATTGTGCCACACTGTAAGCAAATTCTGTGTCTTTTACCAATTTATGTTTCCTAATTCATTTTAAAAGAGAGAGAAGCTGGGGCTGGAGCGAAGGAAGGCTCGGCAGCTAAGAGCACTTGTTGCTCTTGCAGAGGGCAGAGATTTGATTTCCAGCGCCCGTATGGCAGCTCACAGCCATCTGTAACTCGAGCTCCAGGGCGTCTGGCACCCTCTGCCAACCTCTGCACACACAGGGCATGCATTCATCACACATACCTGCATGCAGGCAAAACACACAAAATAAATAAATCTGAAAACTGATGACAGAGAAACTAAGGCGGTGACTGTAAGTGGTAATAACACAAGAAGCTGTCCCCGCTCCCTCCCAGGGAAGAGCAAACCCAGACTCCAACCCCCAAGGCATGGGCTGTTGTTGAAGAAAGGAAAACAAGCAGTTACCTATGACGTCTCTCCTGTACCCTTATTGTTACCAGGATCTTAGTCCGGACTCCCTTGGCTCCCAGTCCTTGTGAACTCTGTTGGAAGAATTCAGAGATGCACAGTGTCGAGGAGAAAGATGGGCAGTTTATTACAGGGTGAAGTGGAACGGCCTGTCAAGAGTGAGAGTAAGTAATAGGCAGAGGGCTGTCATCATGACCCACACAGAAGACAGGCTTTATCTTGTTTCTGCTTTAATATTTATTTATTTAGCATATGTATATTGGGGAAAATAGAGAGCGTATGAACACACAAGTGATTTCTGTATTGTCAGAGGCCGTGAGAGTTACAGCAGATGTCAACCCACCAGAGGAGTGGTTCTCTAATGGAGATTGATCCTGTCCACACATCAACTCTGGAAACTGTTGTTCACTATTGCTAAAACACCTTGGTGTCACCCCAATACCTGCACTGTAGTGTGTAATCTCATGTGCTGTGCATATGGAATCTCATGATTGTATCTCAGCCTTATGGGCACATATCTGTGGGTGGTCAGGAAGATGACTTTTCATTTATCTATATAATTTTGGTGTGTAGAATATGTGCTGGGATGTGCCTCATAACTAGATCTATTTGTTCCATGAGGACTATAGACATTTAAAAGTCTGCTTTGTTCCTTTTTGCTCAGACTAACTGCACACAGCTCACTTTGATCTCAGAGAAAGTTCAAACTACATTAAAGGTTTTTTGTAAATAGATCATAAAATTAAAACCTTACAACTGTGCACAAGGTCAGAGTCACAGGTGTCTAACCAAGGTTGCTACAAAGCCTCCTAAGAAAAGCACACCAATTCTTTTCTTGCCAAGTCTGCTGACAATAGACCTGTGTCTCAAAGTCTGTCACCAGGCTCTGTACTCCCCAGTCTGGTCATGGTCTTAGTCCTGTAACCTTGGAACCTTTTGTTGTCATGGCAATGACTCAGCTCCTTACTGCTTACCCAAGGAATATTGTTGGGAGCCACCTGGAGGCACAGGTGGTCCTGCAGTTTGGAGGTACACCTGGCTTAGCCATGTGGGGCTGAGCACCCTTGCCTGCACCCTTGCTTGCACATGCTCAGAACAGCAGAATGGTATTAACCAATCAGGACAGCGTTCAAGCCTCTCCACCGTTTAAAAGCAGCTGCCTCGGGGCCCAATGCTCTCTCTAAGCTTTCTCTCGTCCCTGCTCTATCTTCCCTTCCCCCAATTTTCCTCAATCAAAGGGCTCCAAATAAAGATGTGACCAGAGAAGGAATTCTCGTTTTTGGTGGCGTTCATTCCTGCTGGTCAGGATGCGCCCCGCAGAATATGATTTTGACCAATGAGAGGTAACTCTTGTAAGTTTTTATTGCTTCAAGGCTCCTGTAAAGAGAAGATTTTAGGCTAGAAGAAGAAGCTAGGAGACATTAGAAAGAGAACAGAATTAGAGCAGAGCAGAACAACAAAGAGACTTGGTGTGGGAAGTCCTTTTATTTAAACAGAAAAGGGAAGATGATGTGGGGTTCCCCTCTGTATGCTGTGAATACCATTGGTTAATAAAGAAATTGTCTTGGCCTGTGATAGGGCAAAAGAGTAGAGGTAGGCAGGAAAAACTAAACTGAATGCTGGGAGAAAGAAGGCAGAGTCAGTGAGAAGCCATATAACCCTGTCAGAGACAGACATGGGAGCTTTACCCAGTAAGCCACAGCCTCATGGTGATGCACAGATTAATGGAGATTAATTTAAGATATGAGTTTGCCAGAAATACACTTAAGCTATTGGTCAAACAGTATTGCAAATAATATGGTTTCTGTGTGGTTATTTCGGGGCTGAGCAGCCAGGAATAAACAGGTGGCTCCTACAACAGAGACTGATTCAGAAGAGTACATAAGAGAGTTTATTCATCCTCAGCTATTAAAAAAATCCCTTTTTTTGTTTTAGCTTCCAATCTGAACCCCAAAAACAGTCTTAGGGCTGGACCCCATAGGTTCTCATTACTGTATGATATTTGTGTGTGGTTTATGTAGATATATAGGAAGGCCAAAAACGATGTTAATCTCCTCTCTCTATTCACTTCATTTTTTTAAGGCAGGGTCCCTCATTGAACGTGAGCTTGCCATTTATTTAGACCAACTGACTACAGGCACATATGGCCATTTCCAGCTTTATATGTGGGTCCTGGGGGTTTTGAATGCAGGTCTCTTACCTGCATAGCAAGCACTCTTGCCCACTGAACCATCTTCTCAGCCCCCAAGGTTTTATAAAGCCATTTCTAAAGTCTTCAGAGCAAGCACTTTGTCCTATCTAGGTTTGATAGGTTCTATTCTGTATAGATGATTGATAGGCTCTGTTCTGTCTAGGTGATTGACAGGCTCTGTCCTGTCTGGATGATTGACAGGCTCTGTCCTGTCTGGATGATTGACAGGCTCTGTCCTGTCTAGGTGACTGACAGGCTCTGTCCTGTCTAGGTGATTGACAGGCTTGTTTGGATTGACTCTTAGAGAAAGGAGAGAGGATATGTCACTGTTCTTTATTAGAAAGTCTCCTGCTACATAGTCATCTCATAAGATTAGAGCTCCTGGATCCAGGATTAAAGAGTTATATACTAACAACCTCCAGTTCAGGATGTTGCATCTCCCAGAGCAAGAGACAGGACTCAGGTCCCACTCCTCTGACCAGTAATTATGTTCTTGTTGCTTTGGTCAGTGGCTTTATAGGTTGTTAGTTATGGGGGTCCTCTAAGCCTATTAATATTTGAGTTGTTACTTAGGATTATGGTGAACCAGGACATCATATAGTCATCTTATTAATAACTTTACCCCAAATGTGGAAAAAAAACAACCATAAAGATCTGTCTTGCTGGTGTCTGGCTGGAGAATCTTCTAGAAATCCTGCCTCTTGGTGATTATTTACTCAGCAGTTCTCATTGACCCTAAGCTCAGATCTTCTGCATCCTTGAAGGTTAGGACTACATCCTATAGACACTGGACTCGGGAGAGGCTGTGTAGCCCAACGAGAAAACAGTCCCAAAGGTGAGGGCTTCAGTGTCCTTTATACCACTAAGCAGGTTCCAACCAACCTGGCAAGCACACCCTGGCTTCTTCTGCTGGACTATGATCCCTGGGCCTGACTTCAAATCTGCAGCTCCCCATTTCCTGTTGGTTCATTCACTTATACATGAATAAATTAAACTCAAATTCACTTTTACTACTGGTTTATAAGATTTTGGGTTTCAGCAACATATTGATGAAGACTTTCTTATAAGATGAATACATCACCAATAGCCACAGTAATGGTGTGGATAGATAGATAGATAGATAGATAGATAGATAGATAGATAGATACAGAGAGGATAGATAAATAGTAATGACTGATTGACAGATGATTATAGATATATAGTAGGTGATAATGGACAGATAGATAATAATAGACATTGATTAAATAAATAAAAATGATTGATTGATGATTAATTAGTAGATGGCAGACAATACATAGACAGATAAATGGATGATGATAATAATAGATGATAAATATATAGCAGAATAGATGAATATATAGATAGATATTGATAGATAATAGATAATATGTAGAAATTATGTATGATTAACAGATGATCAATACAGGAAATGTAGGTAGACAGACAGATAGATACTCTCTAGGCCTGTAAAACAAAGCCTGACTTGGGTACCAACACAAAGTCACAGCCCCCTTTCCTTTGAACAGAAGAGACTGTTTTATGGGAACACACCCTGACCTGTCTCCTGAGCTGCCAAGCATGAGCCATTGCCTTATAGTTGAACACTCCAAACTGTCGTGGCTTCAAGCAACAATCAGGTGTGACTGTTGGTACAGCTTGGGACCAACTGGCTGATTCTATTGGCCTCTCCTGTTCCCTATGGTGTCACCTCCCATGGGGTAGCATGGCTTGTTCATGTAGAGGAGACAGTTCCTAAAGAAGGATGGAAGCTGTCACTCGTGTTACAGTCCATCCACCAAGGGACATCACAGGGACAGTGTAGTTACTCATGTTACAGTCCATCCAACAAGGGACATCACAAGACCACCCACATTCAAGAGAGAACAATTCTTCCTCCTAATGGCAGAAATCGCAATGTCACATTTCAAAGAAGTGCAGAGACAAGATGTGATCACAGCCAACATCACAAATGCCTCTCGCAGAGCCCTGTATTTGTGATGTCAAATTCTTCTCACCACTCACAATGGATACCATGCTTCCCCAAGGAAGGAATGCCCAGATTTGGGGGACTTGGGGGCCCTGGCTCAGAGCAGGGCCTCAGGGAGGGCAGGTGATGGGAGTTCTGAGCTGAATTGTCTCATAGTGAACCAAATGGACTCCTGAACCCACATACTGTCCTTCCTATAGTTAGGACCACCTACCCTGAAGATACAATGACACAGCCCCACAGACTGGTCACCTGCCCAAGAGGAAGCCAAAAGGTCTTGGACAGGGACCAGAGACCATCACAAACTTGTTCAGGTAAGAGATGGCTCCCATTGTCACCCCTGGAGCATGAGTAGACCTCTGTCACACAGTTCTGACTCTATCCTTGGGAACCTTTGTTACCCAGCATCCCATCAGACAATGTGCTGTGATGCGGGATGTCCTTCTGTATACTGAAAATATGTGTTGCTTTTATTGGCTGATAAATAAAGCTGCTTTGGCCTATGGCAGGGCAGAATATAGTTAGGCAGAAAATCCAAGTAGGTGTACAAGTGGAGAAGGGAGGGGTCGAGGAGACGCCAGCAGCCACCGAAGGAGTAAGATGCCAGAGCCTTACTGGTAAGTCACAGGGCACGTGGTAATATACAGGTTATTAGAAATGGGTTAATTTATATGTATAGCTAGTTAATAAGAAGCCTGAACTTCTGGGTGGTGATGGCATACACCCTGAATCCCAGCACTCGGGAGGCAGAGGCAGGTGGATCTCTGTGAGTTCGAGGCCAACCTGTACTACAAGAGCTAGTTCCAGGACAGGCTTCAAAACTACAGAGAAACCCTGTCTCAAAACAAAACAAAACAAAACAAAAAAGCTTGAGCCAAACAATTATAATTAATATTAAGCCTCAAAATAATTATGAGTAACCCCATAGGGACAGAATTGGAACAAGAAATTTTGAGCAGACCCTCTACCTTTCAAGACCTACCCATCAGAACTGAACGAGGACGTGATCCAACCAGATTCTCTGAATGTGGCTGGATTCTCTGAATGTGGCTGGCCCGGAGCCTTTCTGAAAAGCCATTGACAATGACACTGGGACTTGCTTCCTCTGCATATACTGGATTTTGGCGATCCAGTCTGTTTGGATTCTCACCTTCCCTGGACCTGGAGGGAGGGGGGAGGAACTTGAACTTCCCACAGGGCAGGAAACCCTGACTGCTCTTAGGGATGGAGAGGGAGGAGGAGAGGGAGTGGGGGGAGTGGGAGGGTGTTGGGAGGAGGGGCAGAAATGGAAACTTTTATAATTTAATAAAATTAAAAAAAGGCCTACCCATCAATACCAAAGATCGCACACAACCTTTTGAAGACCCAGAGTCCTGACCCAGAGCATGCGAAGGTATCTTCTTCATCATCATCAGGTTAAGAGTAAGCTGATTTTCCCCTTCCTGCACTGGAACAGAGGCACGAGGCCCCAGCTCCTACTCAACAAACCCACCGTGGCACACACTGAAGCCTGGGCAGGGACCTCTGGCTGGCCAGAGCTGCAGGATGAACAATTTACCTCCAGAAACTTATGATCTTTGGGCTCCAGCAGGGCTTAAAGTGCCTGTGGCAGATGGGAGTCTCTACGGAGTCAGTGTTGAACTGAAATGGAAAAATCTCATGAAAGTCCGTTGGACTCGGGGCAAAGCCACAGCCTCCTTGGCAGATAAGTAGCCGCTGTAGAGACAGTTTGACAAATGTTCCCGATGGTCAGTCTTGACTGTCAACCCAGTGGTATTTAGGATTCTGTAGGAGGCTCACCTCTGCATTTCCACAGAGGTGGTAAGACAGAGCCTAAATGGGAGCAGCACCATCCCATGTGCTGGGTCTCCTGAATAAAACAAGGAAGCGAGCCAAGCAGCAGCCTTGACCTCTCTCTGCTTCCTGATTGCAGGTGCCATGTGACCAGCCTCCTCAAGCTCCTGTCTCAACCTTCCCACCACGATGGTTGTACCTTCAAACTGTGATCCAAATAAACATTTTCTCCTTTTGGATGCTTCTCATCAGATTGTTGGTCACTGTAACAAGACAAGTAGCTATTACACCACAGAGTGTGTGAATTCATGAATCCCTAAGGGATGCATGGTATTAAGTATAACTAGTATCTCCTGGACCCAGGCCAGGGTCGTGGCGTGTAGTATTCCCCATGTGAGATGATTATTAGAGACTCAGATGGGTCCTGAAGACTCAAGTGCATGGGTGGAGCAATGGGAGACAGATGAGGCCAAATCCTACAGTTCAAGACAGGAAGGAGGCCAGGGTCTGCATCCCTTAAGAAGTTTTAGCTTCAGAGAAAATGGTCCAGAATTTACCAGACCAAGTCAGTCTAGTGTTGAGCATCATCAAATGAGCCCTGCAGTACCTTCTCAACTGTTAAAATGGATCGATAAAGGCTACAGATGGGCCCCAAGTCCCCCACAGGGAGGAGAACTGCCTTTCCCAGCCAAGATAATCTTTCTAACCTGCTAGTGAGAGGCCTCCTTCTGACTTTATTTGCCAAGAGTAGGGGTAGCCAAGCCCTCAGACAACTGCCTACTCCCATCTCCCTGTTCAATGAACTGGAGCTCCAGAGATCAGGAGAAGACCCTGGCTAGGACAGCTCAGGTCACACAGGGCCTCGCCTACACTCAGCAGTAGGGGCGGAGGTGACACCTTCATCTCAGGAGTGTCTCAAGATGGTCCTTGGAGGAGGAGATGGAGGATTTGTAGGTCAGGCTGCTTCCAGGCAGTCTTCAACAAATCATTGTGTGCTATGAGTGGAAATCCCTCTTCATCTCTGGGGTGAACATCTATTTCCCCAGTGGGACTTCTGGTTAGCATAAAAAGCACCATTAAGGAGTAATTAATATTGTGTATCAGTTATAAATAACTTTTACATGATTTGAAGCACGGTTGTGGAAACAAGTATGATCTTGCACGGTCAAGGATTAGATTAGGAGGGGTGATGGTTTAAGACCTGGAGAGAGCATGGCTGAGGAGGTGATAGTCTATGGAGATGGTGGAGATCATAGATGACATGGTGGCATTGGTGGGCAATAATGGTGACAGATAGTGATCATGTTGGCCACAGTGATGTCTGAAGGGTGGTGGTGGTTGTGGTAATGATGATGGTGGTGGTTATGGTGGTGATGATGGTGTCTACAGATGGTGATGATAGTGATGATGATAGCAATGGTGGTGATGATAATATGTGGAGCTAGTAATGACGATGGTAGTCATGGAGATGACAGTGTTTATAGATGCTGATGATGAGAGCAATGGCGGTGGTAGTGCTAACTCATGGAGACAGGAATGGTGATGGTTGTAGCGATGATATAATGGTGGTAGTAATGACTATTATGCTGGCAGTTTTATAGAGATGATAATAGTAGCAGCAATGGCTGGGGGAGGGAGATGGCAGGGTAGACAGATATTATTTCCATTTGCAATAATGAATGTATAATGATTCTCAAATTGCACCTAGCTTTTTAAGTCAGTGCTGAGAATTCAAACTGAGTCTCACGCTTGTGTGCAAGCACTTCATCAGCTAAGCTATTTCCTGGGCCCGCATTGGCACCATTTTGTAGGGGTTAAAGTGAGCCTGACAGGCTTTGCCTTCTGCACCAAATGGCATACGGCAGAGCGAGCCCACACTGCGGAGTGAGCCAGTCTGCTGACTGAACCTGGGTCCTGAGCCACAGAGCAAGCCAAAGCCTGCAGCAAGGCTGGTGGTGATGCCAGTGCCTTGGATGAACCTGGATGGTCATAGTGGAGGTTCCTGGGGCTTGCACCTAGCTTCTGAAGTAAGGGGGCCTCCTGAGGTTGGGCCCTTAGCCTATGGAATTCAACATTAATTCCAGGAGGCTAGAGTCGTAACTGAATGGAATTGCTGTGCGTTCACTAGTGTTGGACAGAAAATGTGTGTTGCAATGGAGCTAAGTGGAAAATGCCTACATGACCACTTTGGTAGCCCCTGGCCTGCAGAAAGTCTCTTCAAGGACAGCTAAATTGGGATATGGCTCTGTTGAGCAAGAGCGGCCTGTAGACCTGCACCGGCCACCTGCTCTGTTTCTTACGTGGCACCTTTGGCGCTGCTCATAGGCAGCTTCCAGGATGGTAAGCTGACTTCAGTTCTCCGCAAGAGAGCTCAGGTCAGATGCCTGGGGCTACTTTGCCCAACCACACATCATGGGCAGCTGGCTTCACCACTGGACAAATGAGCGTCTGGTCCCCCACATCCCCGCTCCCCACTGTGACACACCTCCTCACTTCAGCTAGGCAGCGCCTGGGGTGTCGCACAGGGGAGAACCTGCACAGCTCCTCACCCACCGTTCTGTGCAGGGAATCTGCTGAGCTGTGACTTAGCCCAGAGGTGCCCGCAGAGCCCTGGCACCCAGATGGTTTGTTATTACTTTGAACAGGAGTGGGAACCAGGGTAGCCTTTTGCTTTCTCCTTGGGTGCTGAAGGGTAGCCATTCCATCTTCCAGCACACACTTCCCTGTAGCACAGGGCAGCACGGGTTTGTTGGCCCCATGCACAGGACAGCTGCCATCCCACAGGAAGCCTCACGATGCCTCTCACCGCCTGCAGGGAACTGACTCGATTCTCTGATGAGCTGCAAGTAACAGCATCCTCGGCTCTGTTCCCATTACCAGCAATCCCGGATGGAGCGGGAGCAAATTCAGAAGCATTTGCTGTGCCATGCGGCAGCATCCGCAGTCAGTGGACCTCTGGTGTAAGAGGTGTAAGAACTTCCCTTCCAGGGTTACCCCACCAGGTAAGAGGGGTCACTGGTGTAGTGAGGAGCCCACTTCTGAACTGGAAGTAATCTAGAGTCATGCAGTATGTCCAGCCCAATGCAGCTCAGACACATTCTCTTGTCTCCATTGCCCAGGCCCCAGTACCCCAAATCTATACACGAACAAGTCCTGCCTTCCTCTGGCTTTGGGGCTCTAGAAGAAGAGGAAGTGGGTACAGTTTCCCTGTCTCAGCAGCAGGCTGGAGGAGGAAGCAAGGTCCCAACCTTAGCCCTCAGCTCCTCCTGGGCTCTGATGGGTAGATAATATCTAGATGGTCTCCCAAATCTATATGCTTCAGCACCCGTGCATGCTAGCCACCCCTGGCCGGAGGGAAGGAAACATCTGGAAGACCATCTTCCTGCATTCTTGTTCAAAGGCCCCTGCATTCAAGGGGGGAATGCAGCCCACTCCCACAAGCCCATGCCCGCTGATCTCTTCCTCCGAAAGGCTCTAAGGCCTGGGTTTGTTGCAGTCATAGGCTATGAGCACAAGGCTATGTAGGAATACCTGGAGGGGCTTCTCGGGCATCTACTCATGGAAGTTACAGTTTCATGAGATGCAAGGTTTTGGGGGCAGACTTCTGTATGCCATGTTCCACATTCCCAGGGCCAAGGATAATTTCAACTTCTACTTATTTGGCAAGCAGCAGCAATTGACAATTTGCTCTGGAGAATGTGGCTTTTACGTGTCAAGGAGTAAGGTGGGTCAGGGAAACACAGGTCTGAGCGGGTGACTGACAGGTACACACAGCAGCGATGCTGTTTCTGGGAGCAGGGGCCACCTGGCCCACTGTGGGCTGAGGAGGTCCGGCAAGCTGTCTGGGACTCCTCACGAGGGCTTTGCGTCTTCCATCTGGGCTCCTGCACACCGGGGCTGTGAAAGGGGACTGAGGAGGATGGAGGCGCCATCTTGCCAAGTCACCCACAGAGACAGACCTGGGAGGACCGTTCTCTGGTGACAAGCATCCTCACAGAGGGCCCCTGAAGGGTGACGCACACCGGAACCTACCTGACAGTTCCCAACACGGGGCCATCTCCAGATGCCCAGATGGTCAGTCAGGGGCTGACTGCCGAGCATGCAGCAGCTAAGTATGCCAGCCCTCCCCTCTCCCCACCCCCTCCACCACCACCACCCCCTTTCTCCAGTAGGACATTTGCTCTGGCTTCCTGTCCGGTTAAGTCTTTATCTTTAGCTGAGCCCCCAGGCCTGAGCTCAGCTGGGTCCATGTCTCCGCAGCCCTGTTCTTAACAGTCAGCTTCTGCCTCTGCCCACAGGAGGCACTTCGGATGCGAGCAGCAGAGCCCAGGAAGGACCGGTTACTACATTGATCCCCAAGTCCCCATGTCTGGTTCAGCACAGGGTTGAGGTATCCTCCTCATGCTGAAGAACCATCCCTGTGTCCCAAAGAATCACTATGACTTCAAACTCTTGCCCCCATCGGCTCCTACATCCTCAAGAGTTTATCCTGGATCCGGAGTATTCTTGCGGCCTCATCATTCTTTGGTTCCTCCCAGGAGTGTTTTCACGGTCTTGGCTCACTTAGGCATCTCCCAGCAAGCTGGCCCCAAAGCCGGTCTTCTTCTCCCTTACACCCCACGGCTGTGGAGGAAGAGGCAGTGCCCTGGTGTGGTCTGAGTTTCCCCATGAACTCCTTTCCGGCTCTCACCCTTCCCACCTCAGCCTCTCTAACCACCTTCTGAAGCTAAGGGGCAAGCTCTGGGCTGATGTGATCCTGACAGGGCCCTAATGACCTCTTTTAGCTGTGAAGGTCACATGTTCCAACCCAGGCGAGAAATCAAAATGTTTCTTCTTAGGAAAAGCAGATGAGACACCACACGCTGTTCAGAGAGTCGGCCCAGGGCTCGACACTTTCTACTTCAGGCCAGTATCCATCCCAGTTGTTATTACAAAGTCAAGCCTGTCCCACCAACACCTCCCCTGCCCCTGATCCACTGCCCACCTTCCCATGACCAGAGCATTCGCTGGCTGGGATTAAACATCAGCTGCTTTCTGAACTGAAGGGGTCCAGCTATCCCTCACCACATCACAGAAGAGTCTTAGTGAACCGTGTCTCGCAGCCCCCCTCCCTCCTGCCCCTGCCCATGGGCATCAGCACCAGGATTCTCTAGAGTTTTGCCAAGTGTCACCCAGCAAGGCTGAGGGAAGATCAGAGCAATCTGGGTAGCACGACCCCTGAACCCCACATCTGCCTCATCCCAGCTTCTATCCTCCATACTCCCTTCTAGGTCCTTCCAGGAACTTCTTGGCCCCATGACAGGGCTGAGGCTTAGGGCAGGGAGCACCCAGCATCACTGGCCAGGCACCCACACCTCTCCTCAGGGATGGAGGAAGAGAGCCACAGACAAGGCTTCCACCCCAGCTGTGTTCTGATCAAGACTCTGTTTCTGCAGCACTGAGTTCCATGCTGAAGCACAAAAGTCCCATCAAGAAGCCTCGTGGTGCTGAGCAAGTCTCCGCCTGGCTAGCACGCTTCATTGCTGGTTAATACAGTGCGTGTTGGCTTAGCCGACCGGGATGACAGCATCTCAAGCAGGGGAGGAAGCATCCATTCATCATCTCCACGAGTCAATCGTACAGCAATAAAAAATAAAATGAGAAGAGCTCTCCTCAGTAGCAAGCACAAGTCAAACCAACAATTATGTTTTGTTAAACCAGACCCGCAAATAAGTTTATGTGACCCACCCCCCACCTCTGTCTGCACTCCAGCCCTAGCGGGAGGGGGAAGAGATGGACTCTGGCAGGATGTGCTGGTCGCTGCCAATGGTACACTTATCAGGGGCTCTGAGCAATGGGCTGAGACACAGGCGCCAGAGAACTTCTCCAGGTTCTTCCCTTCATGAAGCCCCACAGAGCCGTTCCCTCCTGCTGTCCTGGGGAAGAAGGGGGTAGACGAGCTATCTGTAGATCCATTGGATCATTATGAGCCTCTAATTTTCCTCCTGAGGCAGAGGAAATGGTCAGATTATAAAAGCATAGCAAGAAGAACGCAGGGAGCAATATAAGCACAGTGTCATTACTGGGGACAACTTCATCAGCCAGTCGGAGATGACTACAGATCAGGTTCCCAGGCTCAGACTCATGAGCAAGAAAGAAACTGGAAGCCTGCATTGTAGGGGATCTTTGTCTTGCAGCATCGTCACAAGAAGCTATCAGATACACTCTTCTTTCTCCCAAGCCAGCTCTGAGCCCTGGGAGATAAAAGCTGCATCAGATGGAGCCAAGATCATTGAGTGAAGTTAGAGGCACTGGCGCGTGGCAACAGCTTCCCAACCCTTCACCCCAGGCAGAGGTAGAGGTTGTGCAGCCAGGGGCAGCCAGGGGCAGGATTGTGCAGACCACAGTGTGAGCTCAAACGCAGCCTGAGAGTCACAGGGTGGGGGGGGGGAGTGAGGCAGGCTGTGCCATGTGCGTCTGGGCTCCTCCAAATGCCCTGCCATGTCCCTGGGAAATGCCCCTACTCCAGAGAAGGAAGTGGGACAAGGACATCATTTGCAAGACCCAGACCAAGATGAACGTTGGCAACCCTAAACAGTGCTGTTACGTACCGTGTGGCAACAAGAGCCAATAGGCCACATGTGGAGCCCTTCCATATGCCAGCTCTGAGACTCCGTAGGGTACCTACCCGGCAATGGCTGGCTGAGTCCGCCATGCAGGGAAGTGACCCTCAGACCACAGACATCCAGAGACTGGTGACTTGGTTTCTCACTGCCCCAGACTGAAACCTCTGGGAGAGATGCCACTGTTTCTACTTCTCAATCCGGGGGCAGGGTGTAAGAATCGTGTCCCACAGGCTGTGGGCAGAGAAGTGACCCTACACCCAACTAAAGCCTCCTGCAGGTGCTGAGCACCCCACTCAGCTCCTCCCTCCAGCTGGAAGAGACCACATGGATGACATCACCCCTCTTGGGCACCTTCTAGAACCCAGTACCTGCACATTGCAGAAAACTTGGCCAGGATCCCTCCCAAACACCAGGATTCCTGCCCGTCACCACATCCACGTGGCAGATTCAAAGACACACTTCTGTCAGACCTCCTGCTTCCAACTGCTGAACAGGGAGATTCTGGCAGCACTAAGAGAGGACCCAAGAGTCACCTCTAGACACACCCACCCCTGGGTGCCTGAAGCTGGCAGTCTAAACCGACCCAGCAATAGCACCCCTCAGATTGTCTTAGACCTGTCCAAGTCATACCTATGTGTCACAGGACACAAATACAACTATGAATGCAGACCAACACACGCTTATAAACTTACTAAAAACATTAAGCTTTTTGATTAATTTTGTTTATAACTCAGCTGTATGGTTCTTGAGCACATATAGTGATATTTTGTTTGTGTTTTAATAAATAAGGTTTGCCTGAAGATCAGAGTGCAGAGCTAAGCCACTAGAGGCCAGGGAGTGGTGGCTCACACCTTTAATCCCAGAACTCACCCTGGGCTACAGATTGAATCTCTCTAAAAAGAGAAATAGAACTCACACAAAGGTCTTCCCAGCACTTGGGTGTCATAGGCCTTTAATCCCAGCACTAGGGAGGTAGAGACAGGAGTGATATGGCTGGGCAGAGAGAGGAATATAAAGCAGGAGACAAAATCTCAATGTTGTCTGAGGTTTGGTGGAGAACATTGCAGTCTGTAGTCATGCTGAGGACAGGATTGCCCCTTTATTTGTCTGAACCTTGGTAGTGGTAAGAACTCTCTAGTGGCTTGGTTGCTTTGCTTTTCTGATCTTCAGCTTGAACCCCAATATCTGTCTCTGGGTTTTTACTATTTGTGCTACAAGCACAAACTTTGTAAAGGACATCCATGTCACAGTGTCAAAGACTGGACAATGGGACCAGCAAGATGGTCCCAGCAGGTAAAGGTGCTTGCCATGCAAGCCACACAAGACACACAAGCCACACAAGCCCGGTGAGCTGAGTGTGATCCCCACGTAAAGGTGAGAGAAGAGAATCAACTCTGCAAAGGGGTTCTCTGACCTCCACATGTGTGCTGTGGCATGTGCACCCCAACACTCATGCACACACACACACACACACACACATTTTGCACACACAAGTTCAATAATGATATTTTAATAATGATTTTAAAAGTTGGTATGCCTCTGATGGTGAGGCCAGTCCACTTGCGGATGCTTCTAGATGACAGTAGCTAAGGAACAGCACAGCTCAGTGTTATTCCCGGAAAGCGGCTCAGCCAGCCTGCTTTCACAGCCTTTGCAGGGTCCTTGCACACCATGGCCTTTCTGGAATCAATGCAGAAATATTAGCTGTCACTTTCCATCCAGCTGGAGCAGCAGGGGCACCACATGTGCCCCGATGGGTCCCTGTTTGTCAGCTTAACACACTATAGAAAAATAAAACAGTGACCTTCCTCCCTCAGGGTGTGTCACCCCATGCTGAGGCAGGTTTCGGGGTCCAGGAAGGGCATTGAGTGGCTAAAGGCACCAAGGCAGGAGTGGTGTGTGCGTGTCCAATCCGCCCACACCACAGCACCCCCAGCGGGGTCCCTCTGTCTGGTCCCAGGTCACTCAGGCTCTCTTCCACAAGCATGCTGGTCCTGGGGCTATGACGGACAGACCATGAGTCTAGGGCTGGGTTGCCATGACAGCAGGGGGCAAGGGAGGGTAGATGCTGCCCAAGACATCACAAACCCTATGACTGGGCTATTGAATAAATTAGCAGAGCCATCAGCTGACTGACCATCCCAGCCTCCTGGATATGGTGCCAAATACCTGCTTGCTGGCCTGGAGGGGCACACCCATGATGTCCTGATTCCCCATCATTATTCTGAAGCCAGCAAGGCTTTGGGGGCCCTTGTAGCCCCTAAGTAGCTGCTCCCCCACCTGACTGCTAGCTACTCATCCTTCTCTGCCCATCCTGGACTCCTCTGGTGTCCAAACTCCACGTCTCATTTCAGGCTTCTAGAAATGAGCTGTTTGCAATGGTGTCTGCTTCCAGACGCTCATCGATTTTAGCCTTTGTTGTCTTAGCTTCCCGTCACAACGGATTACTGCAAGTGATGGATAGGAACTCACCCTGCACTAACCTGCCTTTTAAAAGCTGCCCATGGTAGATGTGGCACACAGCCAAGGGCTCAGAGAAGGCTGTGGGCACAGGAGGCCTCTCTTTTCACTCGCCAGGGGGCAGGTGAGCTGTGAACCCAGCAAACTTGGGTCTCGCTAGCCACCTTTCTTCCACACCTCCTGGTGTGGCAGCCCAGAACCCACCATGTACTCTGAGGCCTTGCCCAGCCCGGGACCTCCCAGCATAACACTGATGAGCAGACTCTCTGTGGCCCACCTCCCTAGCTGTTCCAGAGGCTTCCATGGTTGTGTGTTTTACACTGATGGAAGGGGACCATGGTTTTCTGAGCCCCCAGCCCTGGTCCGTACAAGTGTCAGCCCTCCTCAGGCTCGCCTCTTCTGCCCACTCCTCACTTCTGACTTTGCACCCCAGGACTATCCAGAGAAGCTGACCAGTGTGGGGCATTCATGACATAATCTGCTCACAGGTTTGTTGGGATATCAATTATGAATTTGGGGGAATAGGCCCCAGGCTGAAAACGTTTAGAAGTAGAGGCTGCAGCGGGAGCCCAGATAGCATCTGGGGGTAGAGTCTCCTCTAGGAGACCTGCCTGGCCCTCGTCTTCCCCACCACAGGCCAGGACCATCCCTCATAGACAGCAGCTCACTCAAAGCCCCCAGCCAGAAGTGAAGTATATCTGTGAACCCTCCCATCTCCACAGGAGCAGACAGATGTGTCTGAACATGGATCTGGGTGCTGCGGCCCAGCCTCGGGAACAGCCACCTGTTGGTGACGCCAAGTTCCTACCAGCAGTGTCTGCAGGCCAACATCCACCATGGGTCTCAGTGTGTCCAGTTGTCCTGTGGGCCCCTCACTATGAGGATCCTCTAAACGGGGACCTCCTCCAGGGGCGAGTGACGAGATGCAGAGCTGGAACCTGGGTGCTTGGTGACTTAGGGGGAAGGAGGTCCAGACTCAGGCTCAGCTGTGGCTGTGACTGGGGATCCCACGAGGCTGTGGGGCTCTCAGCCCACCTTGCAGGTGGGAAGGCTGAGGCCAGCACAGATGCTCCGCAGGCTGAAGTGGCCCTGCTACTGGGCAGAGACCTAGCCGGAGATCTTTGTGTATTTGGGGCGGCATCCAATACCAAGCTCCAAGTCTTACCCAGCCTGGCTCAGTGTGTTTCTTGATGAAGTAACTGAACCTCATAAAGCTCACAAGTCCAGGAGGCCCTTGATCTCAGCAGCCCGGTCACCCTCACAGGTGGGCACAGCTCGCTGTCCACCCCCACATCTAACACTCCAACATCAGCACAGGTACATGACCTACTTCAGAAATCAGGCTGTCCCCAGACAAGGCCATCTGACAACTTCCCTCAGTCTGGAGTCTCTGTAACCCCAGGGCAGGGGAGAGGGCAGTGTCTACTCCATCTGCCCACACTGCTGCCTGAGGGGGGAATCACGGGGGATGGAGACTACCTTGCAACAGGGGACGACTTCAGGGCCCAGGCCTCCCCTGGCCCACAGCCCAACAGCCCAACTCTCCCGTCTGCTTCTACATAGTCAAGTCCAGGGTTGTCCCCCTGCCCAAGGCACGACTATGTGGCTAATGCTTTCCACAGCAGGAGAAGAATATGGTCCTGGTCACCCTCCCTAGGGAAAATATGGGGGAAATGAGACATGAGAATCATCTAGTCATAGCTACGAGTGATACGAGAATCATCTAGTCATGGCTGCGAGTGATACTCTAACTCAAATGCAAGCCCTACCCCACCGCCAGAGCAGAAGGCCGCCCAGCACAGGCCCAGTCACGGAGGAAGTCAGGGAGGCAGGGATGTATGGAGGGAGAAAAGGGCTCTCGTGCCCTCCCAAGGCTGCGCAGGTCACTCAGGAGACTGTCCAAGGCAGGAAGCACAGGCTTTAAAAACACCGAACCTCTTAGCAGCCGAAGCCAGTGGTCTGGTTGGAACCACTGCCACTTCAGCCTCTGCATGGGCATCCCAGAGGCTGCGCTGTGCCTGGAGGACTTCAGGAAAATGGCACATGGCTTCCTTGGCCTCTAGGAACCTCTCTGGCGGAGACAGCTGACAAGCCTGAGTGGACACTGGGGCCTGCTGGCCAGACAACACAACTCCCTGGGAAGGAAGGGGAAGTATGTGCACCCACCGGGCACAAGAGGAGCGGAGAGCCACGGGACAGACACTGGTCATCACCCC